TAAATGCCAATCTTACCAGCTCCGAGGTCTGAAACTTTTAAATGGAGTTGTGACACCTTCTCAAGGATCCCTTCAGGGTTTCAGAACAGGTTGATCAATTTTTGGGACCACAGATATATACTTGGGTTAAGTTAATGTCTATTTTGAGAATTCTCTTCTTAGGGGACGAAAGAGCCATGATCTGAAGAGCAGCAATTGCCATCTGGGAATGTGAACATCCCCCAGGACACAATGTCCCAGTGGCTGATGTTAAGTTTCTTAACCAAGATCTCCAATGGGATAACAACACCCCAGGGCACCAAGAAAATATGAGGGACTTAAGAGATTTAACAATGAGGGGAACCCAGGAATCAGTGCCATGGTCACAAAACCTCTCTAAAGACTTTAATGTCCAACAAGGAAAGGATGAGGGACTGACTGAGTTCATGAGCTACCTTAAAGACCAGATGAGAAAGTAAGCAGGGATAGACTTAGAAGACCCTTTAGGACAGGGAATGTTAAAATTTCACTTTGTTACAAACAGCTGACCAGATATAGCAAGAAAATTACAAAAACTAGAAAACTGGAAAAATAGATCCATAGAGGAATTATTAGGAGAGGCACAAAAGATATATGTAAGGAGAGAGAAGGAAAAACAAAAACAAAAAAGCAAAGATTATGTTATCCACTATGGAGCAGATTAATAGAGGAAGGTCATATCAGTACCCTATCAGACAGCAGGTTGATAGAGAAAGGCCATACCAATATCCTATTGGACCTTAACTGGCCTGGTCTCCCTAATAGAGGTATAAGAGACCAGAAATCAGAAGATGAAACAAAGAAGAGGGGGAAATAAGTGCTTTAAATGTGGGGAGACTGGATACTTTAAGACAGAATGTCCAGAATGGGAAAGAAAGTGTAGGGAAACTGTACCCTTAATGACCTTTGATGATGAATAGGGAAGTCAGGAGCTCTTTTTTGAAGGGTCCTACTCAGAGCCCTTGATAAATTTAGAAGTAGGACCACAACATGATATTGTCACCTTCCTGACTGACCCAGGCGCTTCCAGATCCTCACTCTGTCTTCTGCCCAGGGACTTAATCTATTCCCCGGAGAGGATACTAATTTCTGGGGTAAAGAGAGAAAGCTTTTCAATTAAAATATTACAAGAAACAAATGTTTATTTCCAAGACAGGACCACTAAGGTACAATTCCTCCTAGTCCCTGAGGCAGGTACCAACCTGTTTGGAAGAGATCTAATGACCCGATTAGGACTCACTTTACATGTAAAAAGGGATAAAATACAAGCTTCCCTAAATCTGCTTACTCCATGGGCCAAAGAACAAATTAAGCCAATAGTCTGTGCTAGAGACAGGAACAGAGGCGGCCTTCAGGTTACACCTATCAAAGTTCAATTAAAGAAGACCAGGGAGGTTGTCAGGAGAAAACAATAACCTGTTCCTATAGAGGGGAGGATAGGTATGAAGTCAGTTATTGAGGGACTGATACAAGATGGGCTCCTTGAAACTTGCATATTTCCTTCAGTACCCCAAGCCTCCCAGTCAAAAAGACAGATGGGTCTTACAGGTTAGTTCAAGACCTTAGAGCTGTCAATCAAGTAGTATGAGCTAAATACCCAGTAGTCCTGAACCCCTCCACTCTTCTCAGCAAAATTCCACATAACTATGAATGGTTTAGTGTAACAGACTTAAAGGATTCATTTTGTGCCTGCCCATTAGATGCAAACAGTTGGGACATATTTGCCTTTGAGTGGGAGAACCCCCACTCAGGATGCAAGCAATGGTACAGGTGGACTGTCCTTCCCCAGGGATTTGCTGACTCCCCTCACCTCTTTGGTCTGATTTTTAGAACAAGTCTTAGAAAAGTTCATGTTAGATTCCCCATATGTGCCTACTCCAATATGTGGATTTACTTTTGCAGGGGATAATCAGGAAGAAGTGATCAACACCACCATTAGCTTTATAAATATCCTGGGAAGCTGGGGACTTCGTATTTCAAAGAATAAGTTACAGCTTGCTGAGACTGAAGTATACAGGTTGCTGAGACTGAAGTAAAATATCTGGGACATTTAATCAGTAAGGGCCAATGAAGGATTGGTCTAGAAAGAATAGAAGGAATTATTGGTCTCCCTCTCCCAGGAACAAAACAAGAATTGAGAAAGTTCCTTGGCTTAGTGGGATGCTACCACTTGTGGATAGATTCATATGCCCTTAAAACTAAATCTTTATATCTCAAATTGACCCAAGAGGGCCCAGAGCCCCTCCTTTGGATCCACAAGGAGAAAGAACAAGTATATTACCTAAAGTAAGCCCTTATCATAGCTCTGGTGCTAGCACTGCCCTCTCTTCAACAGCCCTTTCACCCCTTTGTGAATGTAAATAAGGAAGGTGCCCTTGGGTGCTAACCCATAAACATGGGGACCAACATCAACATGTGGCCTTCTTATCTAAGTTCCTGGATCCCATCACGAGGTTGGCCTGAGTGTATTCAAGCAGTTGCAGCTGCAGGCCACTGAACCAAAAAAAGTAGAGAAATCACCTTTGGGGGAAATCTAATTGTTACCTCTCCCCATCAAGTTAGGACAATCTTAAACCAGAAGGTGGGTAGATGGCTGACAGATTTCAGGACCCTATAGTATGAGGCTACCTTGCTAGAAAAGGATGACCTAACTTTAACTACTGGTGAAGCCCTAAATCCAGGTACTTTCATGGCAGGAGGGCAGGAGGGAGGAGCCCCCAAACATTAGATATTATTGAATATCAAATGAAAGTGAGGCCAGAGCTCAGGGAAACTCCTTTCCAGACTGGGTTCCATTTCTTTGTGGATGGATCTTCTTGGGTAATTGAGGGGAAAAGGCATAACGAATATTCTATAGTAGAAGGCGAGGCCATGACTATAACAGAATCAGGCTAACTCCATAACAATTAGTCGGCACAGACTTGTGAATTGTTTGCCCTAAATCAGGCCTTAAAACACCTAAAGGACAAAGAAGGGACCATATACACTGATTCAAAATATGCATTTGGTGTGGTTCACACCTTTGGAAAAATCTGGATGGAATGGGACTTAATCAATAGCAAGGGTCAAGACTTGGTACATGGAGAATTAATTCAACAAATATGAGACAGACTAAAATTACATGAAGAAATAGCCATAGTCCATGCACCAGCAAACCAAAAGGGGGTAAGCTTTGAGAATAGGGAAATTCTTTTGCAGAAGAGATAGCAAAACAGGCTGCTTTTACCTCTGAGGCCCCAGTCTTTTGTCTCATTCTGCACCTCCCTACACCTCATGTCACCCCTATCTTTACCCCATCCAAGGAAGAACTAAAAAAACTTTAACAGTCAGGACTGAACAGGGAAAATGGGTTCTCCTCGATGGGAGGGAAATGATCTCAAAGCCACTAATGAGAGAACTCCTTACTTATCTCCATTAGGGGAGCCACTGGGAACCCTAAGCCATATATGATGCAGTTTTGTGAGCCTATGGGTGTACAGGGATCTATACACTAGTCAAATATCAGAACAATGTCTTACTTGTCAAAAGATTAACAAGCAAGCTCTCAGACAGAGACCAGCTAGGGGTAGAAACCCCAGGTTGCTACCTTTCCAAAGCATATGGGTAGATTACACTGAAATGCCCAAAATAGGTCATCTTAAATACCTCTTGGTTATTGTAGACTATTTCACTCACTGGGTTGAGGCCATCCCTCTCCCAGAGGCCATTGCTACAAATGTAATTTGGGTTATTACTAGAAAACATAATCCCAAGGTTTGGGGTTATAGAAAATATAGACTCAGACAGGGGGAGTCATTTCAACATCAACATCCTTAAGGAACTTATTAAGGCTCTACAGAGCAAATGGGAATATTATACTCCCTGGCATCCACATTCCTCAGGGAGAGTTGAAAGAATGAATCACTCTTAAAAACCAAATCACTAAATTATTCTTAGAGACCAGATAACCTTAGACTAAATATCTTCCCATAGCACTACTCAGAATTAGGATGGCCCCTCGGAAGGACACTGTCCTCTCCTCCTATTAAATACTTTATGGGCTTCCTTACCTTAGCTCTGTTACTGATTTACCTTCCTTTGAAACAAAAGACTATTTTCTCAGAAATTATATATTTGGATTATCCTCTACTTTACTTTGACTTAGGAAAAGAGGATTGTTAGCACAGGCTCCCACACCAGCCTAGCGATCATGTGCTGGTCCAGACTTGGAAAGAAAATAAGCTTCAGCCAGCTTGGCAAGGACACTTCCTGTTCTGCTGACCACAGAGACAGCCCTCCGGACCACAGAGTGGGGGTGGACTCATCACACATGGATAAAGAAGGCACACCCACCTGACCATAAGGAACAGCGGTACTGTCACATCCAGGCAACACCAAAGTGATTTTAAAAAGACTTTAGTGAAAATATTCTTTCTCTTTCATTTGGGAAATGGTATGCTTATTATTAATGTAACTCAGAGTACCTTTCCCTTAACTGTTGAATTTGATGCATGTCAGGTCCTTTCTTGTGGAGACCTTACATCCCAACTTCAACTCCAAGGATACTCCCTTTATATGTGTCCCATCCCGGGACCCACAGGGAAGCCTGGTATCTGTCTAGAGTGGATGGATGTGGGGTGGAACACTGGATATAAAGGATACACTTCTCCCTTTTTATGAAAATGCTAAGGGCTGGACTGATCCCAGGGCACTGGAAAGACTGATTTCCACCATACATAATAATGGACAGTCTTTTAACTGACTACAGAAGAAATTACAGCTGTTGCAGACACACCCCTCTCCTACTTGTAAAGATAAAAAAATGCAACCCACTTAGATTAGTCATAGAAAACCTTTGGAGTATGACACAGAACCATCTATATTTCATAGATATGGGTTGGGGACAGATGGCTCAGAGACAGACCGGTTAGGTGTCTTTGAGCTCCCTCTAACTCTCAACCCCTCCCAGGTGACACCCAGTTCTACCTCCACTTTAACATTACCTTCATGTTTGTACAAAAATCAAACTCAGGTAACCTTAGAAGTCAAGGACCTAAGACAAACTGTGGCTACTGAAATTGGGTACAGGTATACAAATGCTTGGATGAAATGGATAAAATATTCAGTCTGTACATTAAATAAGACTGATTGCTATGTTTATAGTACTGGGAGACCAGAGTCTCAGGTGGTCCCGTTTTCATTAGGATGGTCCTCAGATCCAGATGGAATGTATCACATGTGGGCTCTGTTTCAGGATGCCAAGGCTTGGGGTAACGAATCCTGCTGGATGCTATAACTACTGTTCCCAGAGGTCAGAGGTCCTGGGGGTCAGTCCCCAAGGACTAGTAGGTCACCCACCATAGATGTCTATTATACCCCATATCTCACCAGACAGGGATGATTGACAACTGTGGGAAACCTGACAGGATGCAGTGAAACCCAGTCTTTCAACAGCCTCGAAAACCAGTCCACACTCTTGGTGGGCAGAGCCAGTGTCTGGTGGTACTACAGAGGACCATTACTTGAGACACTCCCAGGCAACTGGGCAGGCACCTATGCTCTGGTGCAGTTAGTAATCCCTTTTATCCTATCATTTAGATCCCCAGCCCATGCCACAACATCTAGGAAAAGGAGAGACAAAGACATGATATTGACTAAAAAGGGAGGAGTTTGTGTAATGATTGCAGTTTCATGTTGCACATATATACCAAATAATACAGTTCCTGATGAAACTATTACTAAAACCCTACAGGCATTAACTACCCTATCTAAGGAGTTAGCTGAAAACTCAGGTATAAATGATCCCTTCACTGACTTAATGGAAAAATCATTTGGAAGATGGAAGGGCTGGATGACCTCAATCTTAACTTCCTTGATTGTAGTGGCTGGAGTTTTAATTTTAGTAGGATGCTGCATAAGTCCATGTGTCTGAGTACTAATACAGTGGTTAACTGAGAAAACCCTCACCAAACAATCACCCCAGCCTTACCAAAATAACTTCTTTTTATTAGAAATGCAGGAACACAAGAGCCAACAACTCCTAAATGAGTTTGAAGAAAAGAATTTAAATTGAAAACACAGGGGAAATTGTAATAAAAATGATATTTTCTGTCAAAGTATTTGTTATCCTCTTAGATTACTTAAAAATTCCTCATGCAGGACTTGCATGTTTAAAGGATCCTTGCTTCTTCTTCCGGATTCCTGTATGACTCCATTGCCCACCAAATGTATGCCCTAACCCGTCCCTCAAGCCTCTTAGCCAATCGGGAAAGATTGTGAACCTTTGACCTGGACAAATCCCTGGTGAGGGGCAGCTATGACTGAGTCAGGGATATAAGGAGGAGCCACTGTCAGCCATTTTGTGCTTGCGTGTTTGCTTAGTGGGAGTGAGCACATGCGTGCACCCTGTTGATAAAGAGGAATTGACTTGTCAAGATTTTCTGTCTCTTGTGTGTCTGTTTTTGGCACTGGAGGGTTATTAATTCCAACACCTGTAAACCCTAAATTAAACAAACAAATGGGGAAAACAGTTATTGGGACTCAGGGGCCAGGTGACTGTCAAATCTTAGCAGTTGCAGAGCCCTTTTCAATTGCAAATTCCTTGTAAAAACTCAGTGTACACTCTGCAGAAATCCCAGGCAGTTTAGCCATACTGAGTCCCACAGAGACCACCCTTTGTGATTTAAAAAAGCAGCTGGAAACAGGAGATCTGTCTCTCCTTCCCACTGGCAGGGAACACCACTGCTTTTGCAATGCTTTCCCCTTTACCTTTAATTAAATTTATAATCCCCTCACTTCATCTCTCTGTGATGTTTGGATTCTGTCTACCTGAAATATCTTCTGACCTGGGTTTGCAGAGACTTCACCCGTCGGGCAACACAAACACACATGCACCCCCTTCCCAGTGCCTTGGGCAATGCAGGATTACTGAATTTACGGATTCATTCCATCCCTCAGGAGCACTGGGCTGGGGCCTGGCCCTGGATTGAAGTCCCTGCTAGCAAACACTTATTGTATTAAACAATTTACTCCTGTTATATATATGATTACTTGGACATTTCTTAATTGCTCATCAGAGAGAGGCTAAAGGATGAGAACCCAAAATACATACCCACTGACAAATAAAATTTGATATGAAAGATTATGTTTAATATCTCTTTAAAAAATATTTTTTCTTGGGGAAAGGGACACCCCCTCTGTGATTCCACCAAGAGACAACACTAGGAATCTTCTATCTGATTCCCTAAGGACCAAAAAACAAAACAAAAAAGGAAGAACCTGAGCTTTTACATTAATTTAGTGAAGGATTTTTTTTTTTTTTGGATCTCCCTAACTCATAGCGCTATTATATCAATCATTGACACCCCATTACATAACTATGCATAAATCTCAGTATGGGCATCCCACTTTCAGTGGGTGCTGTGATTACTGAACTTTGGTATTACAGAAAAGCTCATTTTCTACACAAAGGTACTAGAAACTATTAATTGCAGTAGTAGTTATAGAAACCAACAGTTCCTTTCTTCACTTCTGCAATTAACCATTGAATTAACTGTCAACATCATAGAGGACACTGACTAATGTACTTGGGTTTTGGATCAAAGTATTTTCAACATCACTCAGTCCTACAATTGTGCTGGCTTTGTTTAGGAACTGAATTGTATAGACATTCTTGAAAAGGCTGTAGCACTAACTAAAACCAATGCACTCACACTCTTAAAAAGTCTCTACAAACATGATGACACTTAGTAACCCACCAAACCCATGTATATCACAGTGAATGCAAGCCCTTGATCTTGAACAAAAGACCTTTCTGCCACAATACTGATAACTGATATAGTCATACTATTTCACTTTAACTCAATAACTCTCCTATCTTTAGCTTTACTGAACAACTAACTGAAAATATACCAAGGTATGCAAAATATATTATAAGTTTGAACATTTCAAGACCACCATACAGGTAATGTCCAAAAAGGATTATGGTATGGAATAGTTTAATTTATCACCTCCAAAGATTTCTTTTCTGTTGCAGTGTTTGTTTCTGCTTTCCACCATTCAAGTGTAGCCTCCACCCATAAACTACGAAGGTACTGACCACCCACAGACATTCACTCACTCAATGCCCTATAACTTCCATTACTTAACCCATCCAAACAGTTGATCCCACTGAAGTGTAATAGAAGGAAATCATAAACATAAAAACATTAAAACATTAAAATATCCCAGAAGTCTACCTTGTACTTCCCCATGCTTCACAAAACTTTGAAACATCTTTCATTATTTTTTAGAATTTTTCTGGCTTACCATGTTTACAGCAATACCACTGAATTGACTGTAAGTCATTATTCATTCAACTTCCATGACAGTTTTTCTATGCCATCTGAAATTCATCACTTCAGCCTTTGGTCACTACTTGACTCTGGCATCTTCTTGCTGTAGTATGACTCTTTCCACACACCTTTGTTTATTGCTGAGGATCCTAGGCTCTTAGTATATCAGTTCATTTGACTTCCAGTCAAATCCAAAAGAAAACAATAAGCCTAATGTTAACTTTATACACAAATCTATTGCTATTTTATGAAGTAAATAGCAAAGGGATTTCAGTCTATAAACCAGGATGACTAAAATTCTTCACAAAATTCTTAGTTGCTCATATTTTTCAAACATTTGATCTAGAAATTGCCCTCTGAATGCAATTTCATTTAGTTTCAAAATAAGCATTTATTGCAATTTTGGGCAGAGACTTGCTATGTATCCTAAGCCATCCTGAAACTCACTCCATGTTCTGGGTCAGCCTCAAACTAATGAGTGCTCAAACTCCCTACTGCCAAAATGGGAGGCTTGTAATACCATGCCCAGGTATCTCCTTTCTCCTTAATTCATCTTAATGTTTTCATGGTTAACTGACTTAACAATGCTGGTTTCTGTCCTAATTCTCATTTGTTTACATATTTATAAGATTAGGTTTATTGTTTCCACAGTTCTTGTGATTGAGACACTGCAGGATATTTTATCTTACTTCTCAAGATTACATGCAATATTCACCAATACAGACGCAAGACCACGTTCCTACTTAAAATAAACACAGTACTGGGAGTAATGGCAAGAGAATCAGGAGTTCCAGGCATGAATGGGCTGTTTATATGAACCCTATACCATGAAAAATAAACAGAGCAAGAAAAAAGCACTTGTTAAATAATCTAAAGGAATAGACATACTATTAGGCTTAATTTCAAATCATACTGCAGCAGAACTGCAAATCAATAGCATAACAGAGTTGGAAAGCCTCCCAGGAATACATTGCTATCAACTTTAAAATAACACATGTATCAAAGGGAAGACTCAAGATACACTTATGTATTTCAAAGTACATGAAAATGAATGCACATACTTTTGTTGCTGTGGGTGTGGTTTTTTGTTTTTATACTTTTTTTTAAATGTTTTTATTATATTGGAGAAAGACATAAATTATTGTATGTTTTTTTGGTGTTTATTTTTGTTTTAAAAACAGATTTTGCACATTTTGTATTCTGTCCTCCTGCCTCACCCAACTTGATGCAATCAACATATATTAACATCATTTCTGGGATGTATAAAAAAGCAGTTCTTAAGGAGAAATGTAAAGCAATGAGTGCATAAACTAGGAAGAAATATCTCAGAGCAAAATTCTGGCTTTTACCTTTAGAAATTCATACAAATGTGAGAAAAATTTTAACTGCTTACATAAACTATTTTGTTGGAAGTGATTCTAAAGTAGAGGGAAAAGAGAAGCCACCCAGGGAATCTGCCTGTTTTACCCACAGTTCAAGATAAGGTTAAACACACTGTTATGCTTAGAGACCTGTGTCTCTGTGCAGATGCAATACATGGCACCTCACTCCTACAAGACAGTGAGAGAAACCTGAACTATCAGGAAATTTCACTCTGAGACCTTGACACACACTTGTCTCTCCACCTTCCACCATGAAACAACTCTCTTCTCCATGGATTCAGATATGACTATTGT